TTGTATATCTGGCTTATTTCATTTATACATTACACTGTTTATTATCAGTTTCATTCATTAAGCACCAGAGAGCTTTAATGCCTCTGGATGTGGGGGCACATCACCTCCACATGAGGGATCCCTTGGGATAAACCCTCAGCAGCTGAGCCTGGGACTTCTTTAGTGCTTTTTACATTTAAAAAGGTACATCAACAGAGCAACCTAGCATACCATAATGCTAACAGTAAAGTGAATACATGAAAAAATGTGAAAATTCAATTTATTTGTAACTACTTGTTCTTTTTGTGATCTCAGTGCAGATAGAAGAGATTGGTTAGGATTCAGTGCTGATGGCTTACAGCCATGGAACACAAAAATCTGCTATATATGCCCAGAACCACACCATATCAAAATAAAATCATGAGGACAAGGAAGGTGCTTTGTGAGCATCACAGCAAATGCAGCTTGGCTTGGCTTTGTGCTATATATGCTCCCAGGCTTCACTGTCCACATTCTCAACCTTTCAGCCTCCCACAGACCAGTCATTCAGCTTCCCCCTCTCAAATAAAAAATCCCTCAAAATACTCATTTTTTAATGCCCTGGTCCCAGTAGAACAGGCAAGAAGCAGTGCAAAGCACATGTGCCTGCTGATGGCTGGCTGGTGCCCATGGGCTGGCTGACCACCACACGGGTCAAACTGAAAAGACAAGTCAGTGTTAGCTTTCCCCTTTGTAAGGACTTTAAATTGGCATATTTTTCTTCACTAGTGCCACCAGAGTTCATGGACCATGTAGTAATTTCATGTCTTTGAGACTATATCTCCAGTAATATCTGAAGTGAGCCAAGGGGTCTCCAAAATTTTCAAGGGGGCCGTCACTCCTCTAAGTTTGTTCTCTCAGCAAGGGCAACTTGAAGAACTTTTCCACTGCTCTGTTAGTGGATATATTCACAGTAAGGCAGAAGAAAAATGTAAGAATCATGTGGGAATTACACAAGTGAGCATTTATAGTGGATTTTTACTTACAAGCAGACCTTCAGGTTAATGGAGAAAGGTGCTCATCCTGTGTTACCAGAGCTTCCAGATCTGTAGCAGGACAGCCTTATGGAAATCTAGGTGCAGCTGCAGTCTTACCATTTGTCTAGAACAAATTTATTTCTTTCTCTACAGACATTTATCTGTATGCTGAGGGTTACTAGTGAGAAGCACCCACTGAAGTTATAGTTGCTTAGACTCTATTTTGGAGAGCCTTACTAAGACCTTGCTTAGCTATAGCAATTACCTCAGCTAACTTCAGCAGGGCTCTCCTGTTGGTACCACTTGAGGATCTCTCTTCAAAATGTTTTGGATCTTGTTTTGCCTCCTGCCTAAGTATGCTGGAGACAAATGTTTTCAAAGACACTTTATTTTTCTGTGGACATTCCCTGTTTATTTATTGCAGTGAGGTAGATTGGCCCTGATTGCTTTACAGTCTGAACATGAATTTTCTATGGTGCCTTCTGGTTTTCTTTGGCCACATTATTGACACTGGGTAATATAACATGAAAGGATTGTGGATAGGCTTTTACAAAATAGTCAGCTAAATAGCTATTAGAGGATTAAAAGCAATCTCATGGCCAGGATTACACATCTTTAAAATGCTGATAATATCAAGAAGCAAATGGATTTGTAATTTAACAGCAGAAGAGAGATGACTTCAGATGTCTGGTTTTTTCACATTTGATAGAAAGATTAAAGTGTCTGCATTTGGTGTGCAAGAGTTGGATAAAGCTGCAGCATGGCTGCCTACAGATATCAGTGTTCACCTTTCTTGTAAATAGTAATTGTTCCACATGGAGAGATTTCTTCTGGTCAACATTTTTATTAAAACTTTAATTTTCATGGTGACAAGTTGAATCATTGTCTGCTTTAAAAGTCTGATAATGATACACTTTGGAAGCTTTGAAGAAAATCTTTGTCTAGACAGAAACAGCTTAATAAAGCTTTTGAAATACAGCATTCACTTTAAACCTTTATTGATGCCTGTAAGGAAGCACCAATCCATATTTGGGAAATCTTGTTTTCTACTTCCTTGTGCTGAAATTGTGCAAGAGGTTTGCAAGACAACATGAACTGTGAGAAATAAAAAGTTACAACTTTCCTCAGGAGAGTGGCTCAATCTGTGACAGATTTTTCCCACAGAAAGAATTTATTTTTCATCCAGAAATGAATTTTTCTATAAAATTAAATTAAAATACATGTGACATTGTGGTTTTGCGTCTCTGGTGTTAAGGTTGTATTGGGAGGTATTTTAAGGACATCTCCAGAGCTGTTAAAGATGTATAATCTAAAAAAAAAGAAGCTAAAAAAAGTTGAAATGTAGACTTTTAACCAGTCTCCTTGACTTGAGGTCCAGAGGCCTTTTCCAGAATATTATTTCACAAAATCCAGGTTTGATTCTGACTGCAGAATATTAAGGATATGCAACAAATAAACCAGTCCCATGTAGCTGTGCAGCAGATCAGCCTGTGCTTCACACAGGAAGAGACACCCTAATGCAGAGATGGCCAAGCACAGACCCAGGGGTTGGATGCTTTCCACTCCCTTAGACTCACATGGAGGAACATTCCACATGAGAGATAAAGCTGAAAGGGGGCAGAGTCACGGCCTACTTCACTTCCCCAGCCAGCTGATCACAGAAAAGATGGTGCACCATCTCTCCAAGATTTGGGAATCAGAGGACTGAGGCTTTGTAGGGGTCACACCTCTGTGATAACAATCTGACCTAAAAATTTATTTGTGGCATTATCTGATGTATCGTGCCCATGAAGTAACAGTCATTCTGACAATTTTTATTTTTAGTGGTTTGGTTTGATTTGGCTGTTTATTTTCGTTATATGTATATTAACTGCTTTTCATCTTCGGAGTGCTTTCAAAACAACTGTGTTTCACAGAATTTGCCTCTGGTACTCTGAGGAAGTGTGTGTTTTTCATAGATAACAAAGATTTAATCTCTGCTCTGAGGGACCAATTCAATTCAGGTTTGTGGACAGAATTACCAGCAGCAATACAACATTTCCAGAAACTCAAAACTGAGTAAGAGGGAGAGAAAGGTTAAATCTTTTGCCAGAAATCACAAAGAAAATAAAAAAAGACAAAAACCAATGGAATCCAATCAGACATTCAGACCTCTACCTTGTCATTCTCTCCTTTCTTGAGTAAGAAATATAAATACTTGTGGACTCAGAAATGAGTGCATTGGCTCTGGATTTGAACTGTCCAGGTAATTAGAACACTACATTTTTGAGTCTTGGAAGCAGTCTCTGCAAAAGTAACAGCCCTTAGAAAAACAAAATAGTAATTAGAAAAGAGAGCTGGCTACCATGTAAAGAATAAAGAACAATGCCCATGACTGCCAAGGACACAGCAGCTAAAAGCGTACAAATGTTGAAAGTAGCCTTCTAGAAAGCAGCAGAGTATTTTTATACCAAATAATTCTTATTAGATGCCCACAACATAAACCTGCTCTTTATCTAGATTTAAAAATCTAGATTAAAAATTTAGGTACAAAAGTAGCAGTTCATATTTACTTCCTTTCCATTTTCTCTATTCCATCCTGAGAATTCATTACTCTTGCAGCCAGCACTGTCCTGTTTATTATCAACTGAAAGTGAAAAAGACACAGCCAGGATTAATTAAATTTTTTATTTAAATGAAATACATGGACACATTTTGAGGTATTTGTTCTTATTTATACATGAGTATTTTTCCAGGTGTTCAGTCAGCATGACATGAAGGAAAGACAAAAAAATACAAAACCATTTCATCAAGATGAGGCCGAAAAAGCAAAAGTTGGAAAGATCTGTGGGAAGTGCACAGGTAAGAAGTTTACTCCATATTCAGAATAGGATTTAAGGACATAGCTAAATGTTATTGAAATCTGGCTTCAGAGAAAGGAAGATTTTAGAGCAATTTGGAGACAAATTCTTATTTTAAGTAGACACAGTCCAAATTAAAGGCATTCTACAGATTTTGACACATTAATTTTAAAAAGTGTATTCTTCGAAAAAGTAATACCATATTCTAAATAAAAGGAGAAATACCTACATTTTCATACAGATGTAAACTGATACATTCAATGTTTCCCTTTTTGTACACACCATTGTCTAACCACAACAGGTTATATTTCTAAGCATATAATTTCTGACCTGCCAAAAAGACACAATCAAGACTATTTTGTCCATGAACTCAGATTTCAGAAAAGTAGAAAAAAGGCATTTTTTCAGTATCATGAGTGAAGCTTTACTTTTGAAGGTGCAGTTTTACAGAACTCTGTTTCCCTCTTCCTAGCATTTATTAGAATGAAAGTGTCCAATTTCTTTTCCTGAAAATTATCCTTAGAATAATCACCAAATAGCCAGTGTCCAATGTATGAGCTACTTCTTTCACTTTAGAAGATGCTGTAAGAGAAATTCATTCCCAAATTTAGCCTTATTTTTATTTTTTAAACTGTTGTTTCAGAAATAGAAGTATTTCTGTGAGTTTTCTAAAATATTTAGGAAAAGACATTTTATCTAAATCTTACCTTTCCCCATCCAAGTGTTTGCAATGCAGTGCATCACAGGTTAGCAGTCAGGAAAAACAGACAATAAAACTTACTGGGCAGAGCAGGAGGAAGGGGAGGGGAATTTTCTGAAATGGATTTATCTGGTTTTACTGTCTCAAGTGAAAGGTAAAAGAAAGTAGAACAGAATAAAAGCTGAAGAAAAGTACAATGCCAGCGTTGGTCCAGTTTAACAGTCCAAGGGAAGCTTAGTAACACAGCTGAAGCAACCCGAGAGATATCTCTTTGCTTACAAGTCATCTTTAAGTTTTGTATGGTAAACAGTTAAAGTCCTTTGACAGACTGAAAATACCTTTTTTTTTTTCCTTTCCCTAGTTGCTTTTTCTTTCCCTGGGATTAATTTTCATCTGTAGAAAAATCCCCAGGGTTTTAAATTTTTTTCAGCTGAACTTGAAGCTTTCTGTCTCCAGAGAAGAGACCTAGCTGCCCGTCTCCTCAAATTCACTGTAGGGAGATGAAGCTGAAGAAGTTTTAGACTCTCCATCACTGTTGCACTCCCGTGGGGGACCAGGACTGGGAACTTCTGGGAGCTCCTTGGCAGAGAGCGTTTCCTTGCTGTTAGAGCCTAAGGAATGGCAGTCCAGCAAGCTCTGCAGGTGTTTGATGTAGCTTATTGCAGCTCTCAGGGTCTCCACTTTGCTGAGGCGCTTGTCAGTGAATTCCTTGGGCAGGTGCTCTCTCAGGCGTGTGTATCCCTCGTTCACGCAGCGCACCCGCTGCCTTTCCCTCTCGTTCCTCTTTCGAATGAAGGCAGGCTCAAAGGAATAGTCATAGATGCCCATGTAGCCAGGGAATGGGATGTAGGAGACACGACCTGTGTGCCCACTATAGGCTTGCTCCCAGTAAGATGGGTCCAGATGGAAAGGAACCCCAAAGGGCTCTCTCAGGGATATCCCGTGGGAATGCACATAGCCGTTAGCCAGAGACATAGCTCCTGGAAATGCAATCCTGTTCAGTAGTCTGTCATCATCTTTACTGTTGTCCATGCTTCTTTTTTTTCTCACCAGTGGAATGTTAGTTCCCGAATTTGGCTTCCAGTGTACTAATCCAACATTTGTATAGGTACTGTGCCCTGCAGGCTGCAGTTTCTTCCTGTGTTGTATTAAAACTCAGATCTCAAAGCACAGCTAACAACTCATGAGGTCCACTCTGTGCCTGGAAATCAGCTCTAAGCCCTGTTGTTTTTATACATGTAGGATGCCAGCTAATGTACAGACAGGTTTCGAGGACCATCACTCCACACTTTAAACCCTTCTTTTCCTCTGATCTTCATATTTCAAAAGATAATAAGAGGGTTCCTGTGTATTCCTTTTCTCTCCACTTGAAATTATGACCATAAGAGTTAATGCCAAACATAAATAATCTTCCAGGCTCTAAACACTTCTCATGTATTGTAATCCATGATATCGTTTGATATAATTGCCTCCAAAAGATGGGTAATTTGCAAAGTTTACAGAGATCTTCAAAGTTTTGGCAGAACTCCTCCCTTTCAGGAACCAAGGATCTTCTGTCATCTGAAAACTACCCAAAGGCTTTTCACAATGAAATCCAAAAGACAACTGCAAGCTTTGTTGTTTCGGCTGCTCTGGTCTAACTGAAACAGCTCACAAGCAGTTTGCAAAACTTATATGGTAAGTCTCTAGCTTTCTGGGAAAGCCGAGAAATCTTCAAAGGGAAGAGTGCTCTCTTGTGGTTGCAAGTCATGTCAGATCAAGAATGCAATATGTGCAAGTGTAAGAGGAAAACTGCTTTTTTTGCCCTAAGAGAGGCTTTTTCAACAAATGTGAGTTTCACAAATTGAACATGAGCATTTTCAAAAAATCTTCAACATTTTGAGAGTTTCTGCTCATTGTAAGAATGTCTTGGTCATCACTGTGAGCACCTGCTTCAGATAAACAAAAAAAAGGTGATGCCTTGATAGCCCCACGTGCAGCTATTAGTAGATGTTTACATAGATTTAACTCACCTGATGGACCCTACACACTGCTTTAGTGGGGGAGCTGAAAATCTCTCTTGACTGCCAGATTTATGCTGTGTCCTCCAGTTTGCCTGCAGCTTGCCAATGAAAAGGGGTGGACAAAAGGACTTTTGACAGTATAAGGTCATAATGTCCTTGTCTATGCCTTTCCTCTGAGATATCCTGCTGTGTTAGGATCTTCTTCTGCAGCAATTTGAGGGTCTTTGACTTTTCCCACATTTTTGTTCAAGAGCTCCATAGTTAAATTTTTTTGTTGAAAGCACAGCAGTTTTATCATCTTAACAGAATTTCATTTTTTTGGTTACTATCAGTCTGGGAAGTTGAACATTTGGTGTGGGAGAGCTGTGGGAAGGAATGGACATGAAAAGATACAGGTATGTAGGCTCTATTAAAACTGTTCTTTTGCTCAAAATGGAAGTTTCCACTCTGTTTAGTCTCTCATGCCAAACTGCCTCAGTAGTGTGAGTAACTGAAACAACATCCTCCACTCTGATAAACACATTTGTGTTTCTGCTGAGTTAGAAACCAGCAGCAATGATGTTAGCATACATTTTCAAGTCAGCCATTGTGTCTTTGCTGGCCTATTCTGCAGCTTCAGAAAACAATGGTAATCTTCAAAGCATGATGAATGTACAGGCAGACTGTTCCAGACAGGCATGAGTGAGAACAATCCTGGACTCTGGTTTATGTTGGGGCAGAATCAGCACCAAAATGGCTCAAAAGCCAGGACAACCATCCATTTACTTTCACCTCCATCACTGACATGGACTAGCAAGAACTGGTGTTTGAAGCTGAATGCTTTGTAGCATCACCTAAGAGATAGCCAGTGGTTTTCATGAGGGGTTGAGATCTTTTCCAGTCACAACCAAGTATCTTTCCAAAATATGTGCCATAGCTCAGATGGAATGTATAGGTGTGAGGTAAAAATTACCGAAGAATGCCCCATGGTATGTACAATTAATTTCATAATCAAATAATTGAGAGACTTTCTGCCTTTTAAAAGGTCTTCAGAAACGGTTGATCAGGATGGATTCTTCAATATCACTTACACTATAAACTCTGTTGTCCAGAAGAAACGTTTTCAGAAATGAATGATTAAAAGAAAATAACTCCTTCACTGTAGCGCTAAGGTAGGCCAGGACTTTAAGGTTTCCTAAAACAAAGAGGATGTTGACCTCTAAGCAAATACCTGAAGTAGGAAAAGGACATTCAATCTCTGTCATCATTTGATTTAAAACGTTGCTGTCTGGCAGTATTCCTGAAGCATGCCTCTTGGGGGGTCTCAGCTGCCAGATGATTTCACAGCTCTCCATGACCTTGCCAGCAGTCTAGCCATGTTCAAAAGGCAGGGTTACGTTTCAGTTCTGTCATGCAAATGCACTATGCCCTGCTGCCAGACCTCTTTTCTATGTTTACTGTAAATGCAGGCCACCGGCACTTCCCAGAGTGTCACAATTGCACCTGTGCCAAACAGACATCTGCTCTTCTGACAGAAAATCTGCATTGCTAATCCTTTAGGGAAATACATGAAGAAAAATTACAGGTAGATGTTAATTGTTAAAATGAATGATTGAAGCTGATCTGGACTCTGAAGTCTGAATTTGTTTGTGTGCGACAGGAATAAGAAAATACGCCACAGATTTCTGATGAATGTGGTATCTTGTTTACAGTCTAATGTCACTTGCTTGGAAAGGGATTTGCCCCTGGGAAGAGAGCCAGAGCAAGGCCAACACACCTTATTTCTCACTGAAGGTCCTTGTTAATAGTGCTAGCGGGATTAAAACAACGTCTCCTTCCTGCACTGACTTCTGCAGAAAGAAGACCCTTCTCAACATGTCTGCACATGCAGACACAGTGAAAGTAGCAGGTCTGGTCCACCAAAGGGAAAGGCTAATACACGTTCTTTTCAGTTTTAAGAGTAGGTTAAGACTACATGGATAATGTTCCTCTTCTAAGATAAGCCCTTGATCTTCTTTCTTACACTGTTTCTCCAATTAACTCCTCTTCACACATTTGTCTGGACGATCCTTTGACTCCAGAATGCAATATCCTCCATGCTGATACAAAGCAGATGGCCTGATTTGCTTTCCAGGTGGTAGAAATCAGATGTTGTTCACTGCTCTACAATGGCAGAGGTCGTACTGTTTGCGTACATATTGTATGTTTTGGTTTGGTTTGGTTGGTTTGTTTGTGATCTTGTTGTCGGTTTTTTGTTTTGTTTTGCTTTTATAATACAAAGTCTGGGAGATTCCTTAAAGACTCCATTGTCTATGGCATTTGAACAGGTTTCCTTCCTTCTCTCTTTCCTTTTACTTCACTATAAACAATTACCCAGCCAAAATGAACAGAAAATATTTCTGACATATCTAAAAATAAAACATTAAGGCATTTTCCTTCCAGATATAACTTAGTTGTGATTTTAATTGCATATATCCTAACACAATATCTATAAGTATGTAATCTTTGTACAAAAGAACCGTCAACATGATCACACCCCCCAATAGTGGATAACACTATTGACACTACATAGTGATTGCTTTGAACTACTTTGAATTATTCAAAGAAAGAGATTTTCCTTGACCCTGTGTCCCTCTGTGTGTGAAAAAAAAGTCATCAGTTGAAATATTGTAGTAGAAACACAAGAGTCAGTTGAACACAGGCAAGTCCACCTACTTCCCAAAAGATGATGTCTGAACTGTTGTATCGGTAGATACATTACTGAGAAGGAAGAAGAAGAAAATCCGTGGGGAGTTTAAAAAGAAACTCTCACAACATCGTGCACTTCCTATATTTTAATTTGCTGTAATTATATTAAATTGTAGTATTTATTATACATATCATAGTTTCTCTAGGCTGCTGCAATTTATTAACAGACATAAAAATATGCAATTAACAGATTTTCTTGTTAACTGTATGCCACAGAATGACAGTAATAACTTCACTTGACACTGAGACACAGGAATACAAGGTTCAATAGGTTTGTGTCTCTCTAATCCTGTTCTATCATTAAGCATGGGCCATCTCTTTCCAGCTTTATAGCTAGAAGTGAGAGCTGCACATAAACTACCCAGGTTTCATAGTGTGACTATCACCAAAATACAGGCTTGCAAAGTGCTGACAAGGATACCTGAAAAGGTGGTGAGAAATTTGGATTTTTGATGTTAAAAAAGTTGGCTTCAGCCATTGCTTTTTGCATAATCTTCATTTCAACGTAATTCTGCTTGCTCTGAGAAAGAACCTAAGGGCAGATTTGCAATAGCAGAAGAGAACTGATCGTAGGGAGATGTGGGCGTGGTCCAGCAGCGACTTTGGCTCATGCTACAGGGAAGGACTGAAGCATGCTCACTGCATTTCTTTCCTCTGTGGTTTCATGAGTCTCCCTTATCTTTTTAGTATGTCTCCAGGATCTGAAGACAAGTTGAAAAATAGCTTGACAATTTGTTCCTCACGCAGCAAGTACTGCTATAAATGTCAATAAACCAAGCTTTCAGGACACATAGTGCAGTCATCTTATCAAAACCCTTCACATATAATAAAAGTGTTTGGTATATAAAAAATATCTTTCCTTGGAGAAGAAACAGTCCCCAAATGTGTTTTATCACAATACCTTGGGCATGCAGCATACATCTCTGTAGACACAGATTAATTTCTCATTCAGTGACACTTCATATTATCACTGGCTTCCTTTGATACTTGTGCTTTAAACTGGTAGTTAAGATTTAAGATATTCTGTGTTCAATGGAGTAAAGTGACTACAAAAAAAGCTGGAATCTCAGAGGACTCACATTTGACAGTAGGAAAAAAACCACTCTTATCTGTGTATGACTACATCCAATCTGGCTCATAGGCTCAAAGTATTACTTTCAGCTCAGATAGCTGAAATAGCATAAGGATTTCAGCACCAGGGCACTTCTGCGGTAGAATTACGCTATCATAATTGGCATTAAGACAAGCTGAGGGCTTGGGATAACCTAGCATTTCAGGACAGAACTGAGATGTACTGAGCATAACTGCAGAGTTGTAAAGATGAGAACAGAAAATTGAAGGTCTCCTGTCATCTCCTATGTATTAGGGAATGCAAAGTGAAGAGAGAGATTTTTGGGCTTGTAAGAATTTGCTGCAATTTCTAAGAAAGATGTGAAGTATTAGCATCAACCATGTGAATATGTGGTACTACATACACAAAAATGAAATACACATAAAGCCCCCATCAGAAGATTATCAGCCCCTA